TCTGGCTTCCAGAAATACAGAATTGGATTTAAGTTGCTCTACTGCCCATGAAGCTATAAAACACCAGAGCAAGTCAACGTATCTCACTCAATCTCCTCTTCCTCCAGACATCGGGATTTCCAGACTCATTAAGGAGACAAGATAATGTATATTTAGAGCTCAGTGCAAGAGGTAAACAAAGAGGCTGCTCACCAATTAGCATTTAAACAAGACCACTGTAACGGGGTGAATGCTTTGGGCACAGAGGGCAATAACCCTAACCCTCCCTCCCCTTCCCCCCTCCCCCTGGAAGCAACAAGATACAAAGGATGCTGTGCTCAGGCTGGCCATGAGGGGGTGGGCACCAGTCACCATATGTTCACATTTGCCCGAGAGACAGCTCAGGCCTTGGGACCTGCAGGAAGTCCTTTCTACCCTTCCTTCTCCATGCCCCTAAAGTTCACAGCTGTATGCACACCCGGACTTGCAGGTTGTATCCTAAGTGTCCTTTCCTGTCTGTCTCCCCTCCCCATAGTCTGGGAGACCCCTGATAAGGGCTGGGTTCACATGCCAGTCTTCATGCTGACTTCCCAACCAAAGCATGTGTTGGGTGGAGTGAATAAGTGCATGCACGCCTGTGTGCGTGTCTAAGCGACCGTTCACAGCTGGTCACTGGGTTGGGGAGGTGTGTGTTTGTGCGATCTAAGTGCCTTAGGATCCTTCACATCCCACAGGGCTTAACAGCTGGGTTCCTTCAGGGCTGAAGGGTGGTGTGCATGGAAGGGAATGTTCTAGAGCCAACCTACATTACAGTGTCCCAAAGGGGACCTCTGTCCTCGCTGTGTCGATGAGAGTGCGCACACGTGTCTGCGCAAGGGCTGGGTGGTGGCCACTGAAAGGCCACCGTGTTACTTCTTCTTTGGAAATAGACAGCTCTCAGTCAGGTATTGGTGACTCACGCCTTGACCCGGTACTAAGCAGGCAGAAAAGTCCATGAGACTCTTATCTCCAATGAACCATCAAA